AAAAAAAAAAAAAAAAAAAAACCAACTAGAAATGCAAGATTAATCAGATTAGAATGAATTATATATTATACACTACTCTTTGCAATAAAGAAAAGAATATCGTTTCAGGTTGTTATATTCTAAAATCCATAAAAGCTAAAAATCATCATCACTCAGACTTCAAGAAGGTCTGTTATCATGTGATGGTAAAACAACAAATGACATGAAAACATATAATGTGTAGAGTCCAACCTATGGGGGACAGACTCTGGAAAGTCTCTGAATAATAAAAGGGTCTGTGCATTACATTTTTCCCCTGAACATATAATATGGCTTATCCATTCATATTAGACTAATTTCCAAGTGCATTTGTGTGTTGTTAATACATACTCATTTTTAAGCAGTATGGATAAATTCTCTTGTAAATTAAGAAAACTGTTAATATCCTTAGATGTTTAGATACAGCAGCAGTAAATCATGTCTACAAATAAGGAACATGTTCTACCTTTTAAATGTCAACTGTGTCATCTGAAGAAGTTTGCAAAGCACTCTTAGATGTACTTTCAGATAAGAAATCAAAAAATATAAAACACTGCTCCCTTATACTTTTGGATGTATCCATACTAGCTCATTTTGTTTATAGAAGCCTGGTGAGTGCGTGGTATGTATATAGCTGTTACGTTAGCATGAAATGCATGATTTTTAGTTGGATAAATACAAATTTACACTCAGTGTTACCTGTTGGATAGCTGCACCTGAGAGTTAGGACTCATTCCTTCTTGGCCACTCCATGTGGGCACTAAAAATTAAATGAACAATTAATTATATTTTGCCAATGACTCTCTTAGGATTAAGATGTGATAAATGATCTTTAGTAGTCAAGGGTAGCTTCTAGCAGCAGTCACAATTTTCCACTGACGGCACTGACATATGCTGTACCAATTGCCTGGGATAAGAAAGACTTTTGAACTATAATCCCCAAAAAATATGGTCCCCAAAGTCTTCTTGCTGCCTCTTTACCTGTTCTCGCTCATCAATTCTGTAAGTTCTATAAGGACCATTTCATTGTTTAGTAGAAAGCTTTCCTTCCTTAGCAAACTGCATGTAATAGATTCCCAAATGCTATAAGCACTTGGCATTTGTTCTGCTGGGAACTGCACTGGGAAACTAATTTCTTTCACCAGATAAGGAACAATTTGGTCACTGATTTTGGGCTCGATTTTCCACAACTGAGAGAGAGGCGGGAGCCTGTTTTCTTTTCTTTTCTTTTTTTTTTTAGACGGAGCCTCAAGCTATCCCCCTGGGTAGAGTGCCATGGCATCACAGCTCACAGGAACCTCCAACTCTTGGGCTCAAGTGAG